GTGTGCGCACACATGCAGCTGCCTCTGAGTGTGCCAGGGAGACAGACAAGGACAGCTGAGGCATCAAGCCCCAGTGGAGGAGGGTCAGGAGCTAGGAGAGGCCCGCAGGAGAGGGGAGGTGTGGCCTCAGAACTGCCAGGAGTGAGAGGAGGGAGTTCCAGGCAGAAGAACGCCGGCCTGAGTGAAGGTGCGGAGGGTGAGCATGGGAGGGCGCGCTGCAGAATCCACCAGTTTCAGGACCACTGCCACCAGCAAGGGAAGCTGCTCTCGACGCGCCCCCCCCCCACCCCGCCCTCCATTATGCACAAAGCCCCCAGCCCCAGGCAGGAGGACACACCTACTTTTCATGCCACTGCACCTTTGCTCATGAAGCCCCTCCCATAGGTGGCTTCTCCTCTAAGAAGTGTGTGAGCTCAGTGTGCTTTCCTGCACTCACCGGCGCCTCTCCATCCCTCCAGGACAGGTGTGCCCTCAGACCTGCACCTGGTGGGAACTCAGCAGAGATTAGTTGAATGAATGAACAAATGATTGAATGAATGAATGAAGGGAGTGACTGCCGTATGCCCCCTAGACACTGGTGATTCACCTGATGACTGGCACCATCCCGCACCCCAGGACCCACCACCGCACAAGCCGCAGGAACTCTGACACACACCCGGCCCGGCCGCCATCACACCCCGGGGAGCCACGTGGAAAGCTGCTCTCTCCCGGCATGCCCCCTCCCCATCCTCCCACCCACGCACACTTTCCCTCTTGCCTGGGGCAGCTGGTGGGAGGGTAGGGGCTTGGGCGGGGCAGGGCCAGAAGGGCCTCGGAGGCAGAGCGGGGGCAGGGGGCTGGGGGAGGCTGGGAAAGTCCAGGCTGTCTCTCCTGGGGGGCGGTGGGCGGTGTGGTGGGGAGCTCGCAGGGATGAGGGAGGGAGGAGGGTCGCGGGCCCTGTACAGCTGCGGTCCCCTCCCCAGCAGCCTGCGGGGGGACAGAAAGGCCTCTTTGTTCTCTGCCTTTAAAGGGTAAGAGAAACACTTATGCATGGCAAATTAGCCCAAAAATGTATTTCTCTAAAACACCCAATTGTCTCAGCAGGCCTGCAGCTGCAGGGAAGTTCCAGGGAGCCGGGGGAGGGGGCGGCTTTGGGGTGACCCTGGGGGACAGGGAGAGGTGGTGGGGAGAGAGGGGCCATCTCGTCTTCCCGCCTCTGCTCTCAGAATCCCACAGTCACAGAAGGGCACAGCTGGCGAGGGCCCTGGGGTCAGGAAGACCAATCCCCTGGTGTTTCAGAAAGGGAAACTGAGGCCCAGAGAGGCGGCGTGACTACAGTAGAGTGACCACTGGCATGCGACAGAGAAAGGGCTGGTCCCAGGTCTCCTGGACTCTTTCGTCTGTACCTACTGCCTCGGCCATGCTGGAAAGGAAGGGGCCCTGGGTCCCCAAGGTCAACCAAGCCAGCTGCCCCAGGCATGAAGGAGAGAGAAGGAAGCTGGTGGCTCTGCCCCAAAGCTGCCCACTCAGGGCTTCAGTGCCCAGCAGGATGGACAAGGGCACCAACCAAGCCCCGCCTCCTCCCCACCACACAGCATCTGAAGAACAGCGTGCCCAGGGGGCGATGGGAGATTCGGGCACAGGGACCCGAAGGGAGTTCCCCACGGAAGACTTCCCCCAGGAGCTGGCAGGAGAGCCCATTGGTCAGGGAATTGAACCAGAGGCATGCGCCAAGAAGGTTCAGGATTCTACGTGGTGCTTCCATTCAAGGCTCATTCTCCAGGAATCTGTTCTGTGTGGGCCCCAGGAGCACCCCAGGCTCCCAAAGATGAACCAGAGACAGCCCTGTCCCCAGGGAGCTCCTAGTCGCATGGGGGAAACAGATGCGTAAACAGACAGCTATCACGAAAGAGGCCCAAGGAGAGGGGAGGTCCACACTGAGGGACACACATGGAGGATGGGGATGTTCTGGGGGGGGTCTCCCCCAGAGCTGGGCCCTGAGAGGTGGGTCTGAGAGTGGGACGGGGGCACATTCCAGGCAGAAGGAACAGCACAAGGACACAACCACGGCTCCTAAGACCAGCTGTCCGACGTGGGAATTCAGAATGGGTGTTTTCAGAGAATTCCCTGGGCATCTTCAGAGTTCCAGCCCATGTAGCAGACACAGGAGAAGGAGAAAACATGGTCCTGGCCCTGGGGGTCTTGTCAACTTGACGAAGTGAGTTTATAACAGAAAAAACACTGAGCTGGCCATGAAAAGTGCCAAAAGGAGGGTGCAGAGTTGGGGCCTTGGGACCCTGTATTCAGGTCCTGGCCCTACCAGCTCCTGTGAGACCGTCAACCCCGAGGCTCAGTTTGTGCATGTGTACAACCAGGTGACCATATCTACCCAGGACGACTGTCATGAGAAAACATGGGGAGAGCCAAACCCACTGGCTGACACCCCGTAGGTTCTCAGTGTATGTTAGTTCTGGCCCCCAACAGAGAAGTCTGGAAATGAGGGAGATGGGAGAAGTAGGGGACGGGGATGTGGATGTGTGTGTGAATGTGTTTGTGTGTGAGTGTGTGCACGTGTGATTGTGCGCATGAGTAGGTGTTGTGAGAGTGTGCCTGCATATGAGTGAGTTGTGCACGTGTGTGTGTTGTGGTTGTGTGCAAGTGCACACATGATGCATATGAGTGTGAGCGTGTATGTGAATGCATGTGAGCGAGTGTGTGAACGAGTGTGCGTGCATGTGTGTCTTCAGTGACAGGATCACATATGGAATGCTTCTTGGGAGACCTGATCCAGCTAAGCCTTGAAATGTCAAATGTATGAAGAGGCCAAGTGGCCAGGAGAAAGGCCTCTCAGGTGGCTGGAAGGACCAGAAAGGACACCAGGCCCCTTGGACCTGCTGGAGGCAGGGAGACACCAAGAAGGAGAAACCCACTGTGGGGTGGAGGCCTCATCTCCACCCAGCCTCCCCAGGTTCAATGTGGCACCAGCAGTGGAGCCAGACCCCAGAGTAGAGCAAGCCTTACCTAGGCCCCCTCTCAGGCTTATCCAAGAATCTTCCCTCCAGGAGAAACCCAGACTCCTCAGCAGTGTCAATCATGCCCTTCAGTCTGGTCCCTGCCGCCCTCTCTGCACCCCCGCTCCCAGCCTCCTCCACACCTTATTCTCCAGCCGGATCAACTCACCTGCTCAGACATACCACCTTCCCTCCCCCCTCCACCTAGTGGGCCTGGCGAATCCGGAGTCAGCTGCTAAGTGCCGGTCATCCCTCATGTGTCCTCTCACCTGCCTTCCTGCAGCCCTGTAATGTTGTCTCGTGCTCGCACATCACCCAAGACAGTCCTTACAGCATGCTGTAATTTATAAAACTGTGATCGCCAGACCCCAAAACCATGGGAAAACTTGCCAAAGATTTCTCTCTATAAAAGGCGCTAAGAATTGAAAGCGGGGACTCGAACAGGTATTTGTACACCTGTGTTCACAGCAGCATTATTCTCAATGTCCAAAAGGTGGAAACGACCCAAGTGTCAATTGACAAATGAACGGATAAACACAATGTGGTACATACATTTAATGGAATATTATTCAGCCTTAAAAAGGAAGGAGCTTCTGACATGTGCTACAACCCAGAGGAACCTTGAGGACATTATGTTCAGTGAAAGGAGCCAGACACAAAGGGAAAACAGTGTATGATTCCACTCATATAAGGCACCTATAGTAGTCAGCTCCATAGAGACAGAAAACAGAACAGTGTTCACCAGGGGCTGCGGGAGGGAGAGGGGAGCTAGTGTCTAATGGGAGCAGAGTTTCCGTTTGAGATGATGGAAAAGTTCTGGAAATGGATGGTGGCGATGGCTGCACAAACTATGAATGTCCTTAATGGCAGTGAACTGTACAGTTAAAAATGATGAAAATTTTATGTACAGTTTACCACTGGGGTTCGGGGGAGGCACCAGGCACAGATAGTTTTTCGAGGAAGTTCTTTTTAGATTTTAAGAAAACAGTCTTCTTTCTGTGTACCCTGGTGTGAATAATAGCAAAGATAAACAGACCACACCGACTTCTGTCAGGCAGATGTCGCATCTCCTTGTCTTTGGCGCCCCAGACCCAGCACAGGTGAGGGTGGGACAGGTGCACAGAGAGGCGTGTTTTTGGTCAACAAATGGCTTCGATGACGAGGTTCCCTCAGACCCTCTGGGACACCCACTCTGGATGCATCCTTCCGCGGCAACACCCCCCGTCTCAGCCCAGGAATCTTCTGAGTGTGGAGCACCCCAAGAGAAGCACAGTGGGGTGCCGAAAGAAAATATTAGCATGTCTTTCCATTCTTATTTTCAGTCCCCTTATTTTGAAACTTCGACTTTGTGTATGTTTAATACCGAAGTACACGTATATAGTTTGTAAATAAATAAAAAGTTATGCCTCAGGATCTGACTTAGGAACTGAATAGGTACTGAGAAATTCTTTCCTATATCTCTCATGATCCAAAACTGAGGAACAAAATGTATTTCAATAGTGGCCTCAATAACCAAACCTGGCATTGGATTCTTGCCATCCAAACTCAGGAGCCCAAGGGATCCTGATAGCGAGGAATACTTGTACATATTTGGGGACTGTGTGCCCCCACATTTTTACTGAGAAAGATGCACAATCAAAGAAGTCAGAGACAGATGCTTAGCCCACTGGAGTAGCGCAGTTTACGGCACAGGTTAACAGATGGGAGAGGCGAGACTCTCACATCGCCCCAGGAGACAGAAGCCATTATCCTCTCCTATAGATGACGAAACTGAGGCTCAGAGACATTCATGAGCTTCTCCAAGGTTACAGGGCTAGACAGTGTCAGAGCCAAGACTCAACCCATCTGGGTCTAACCCCAAAACTACACAGTTTCAACCAAAGTCCCTCTCACCAAATCATGAGGAAGAGCTTGGCAAAGGCAGCCCCGTGGCCAAGTTCCCTCCTTATCAGCAAGTTCTGGGCCGCTCCCCCACGGCACATACACACCCTGCCCAGCCACCTCCTTATCTACACACCTCGGCTCAAGGTTGCCTTTCCCCAGCTGGGCGCTCCCCTAGCCCGGCCTTCCCTGTTGGCTGTTGTCCTGCAGAAGCCGTGGGCTCCCTGAGGACTGTCCTCTGAGCCCTGGATGCTCCGTCAGGGACGCGGGACACAGTAGGGCTCAGCGGATGGTTGTGAGTGAAAGGACAGGCGTGACACACACTGAGGAGCCCTCACACTCGACCATATGTGCAGGCGTGGGACTCGGGTCCCTTCTGGTGCTGACACCCTACGATGACCCTGAGCCTGAGGTAAGGGAGTGTGCAGCGACCCTCAGACCAGAAAGAAACCCCAGCGGTAGGGTGGGGGTGCTAAGAAAGAAGAGGCGGCAGGCACAGAGAGTACACGGGGGAGAGGCTTGGAAGGGGCATCTCCCCATTTAGCCCCTGATGGTGACAGCAGAAAGAACCAAGTGAACAGTGGCAGTGGGAGTGGGGCGCAGCAGCAAACCTTCAGATCCCACCTGACCTTCTTAAAAGGCCACCGAGGATCTGCGGCAGTGGGCCCACCCCTGTGACGAGGGGATGCCGCCTTCCCTGACCACTGCCTGACGTTGGCTGGTGCCCCTACCCTGCACCCACCGTTGCCCTCCCACGGGACCCCTCTGTCTTTGACTTGGGCTGGTCTAGTGCCCTGGGAATGTTTCTGTGAATGGTGCCAGTTTTAGGCTGTGCTCAGGCGATCTGGAAGGAAGGGTGCGTGGTCCATGGGGGTCATAACCATGACCCATAACCTGAGAGTCTCCTTCCTCCACCGCCTCCTAAGGATGGACGTCCTTGGAGAGGTCACGGACTGTTCCAGAGAGGGTGCTCCTGGAGCGTCTCCCACTACCAGACAGTGGGTCACAGGCTCCCAGCTGATGGGTCATCCAGGACTCAGAGGCCAGTCACGTGGGGATGGCCAGGACCCTTAGGGGATGCAGAGGATGGGGGCTAAGAAAGGGGCCCCAGCGGCGTGGGGATGGAGGGATGGAGAAGGGGGAGGACGTCATCCTACCGCCATCCTGACCCTGCCCACGTGCCCCCAAACACATGTGCAGGGACCAACACAGCCCCAGACACAGGGGCATCCACACGCACATGCCCACAGGCATGAGTATGTCCCTGTTGACACCTTCCCAGCACACACGCATGCATCCATGTCTACACACACGTTCACGTGTCACCATACAAGACATATCTGCACAGGAGGAAGGACCACATGCCCCTGAGATGGCTCTTTCTTCCCTCTCCCACCCTCTCCCACCGTCTCTCACTCCATCCCACTTCACCCAACCTGGCCATCTTCTCCACATCAGCAAACCACCCCCAAGAATCTGGTGGAAACCCCGAGGCCAGTGACCTGGTTCTCACGTTCCTGAGGAGTCAGGATTTCACCTGCCGCAGGCCATTCTGCCCTCCAGAGGCCAACTGCTCCCCCAGATACGACCCCCAGCCTTCCCCCTCACACACACCACACTGTGGTCTCCTCCCACAGGCTCCCTGGACAGAAGTGCCCCCTGCTTCATCTCTTTCTCTGCTGCGCTCTCCTAGCATACCCGGCGCTTCAGCTCTGGTGACAACTTCCAGAGACCCGAGCCTGCCCTTGGAGAGCTGGGCCAATAGGGAGCGAGATGCAAAAAACGCATACTCAGGGGTTTGGCCCCAACCTAGGTCACCTAATAGTCAACGATGCAGCCTCAAACTGAGTCCTGACCCGCATCACAGTCAAGCCCTGACCGTGGCCCAGCCACAGAGGGAGCCTTGACTCTAGTTAGAGACCGTCCGTCAAACCTGGGTGACAGCCTAGGCCTGGCCCCGACCCCAGCCAGGGGCCTGACCCGAAGCCCAAAATGAGTGCTTATAAGTCTTGAGCTTGGCCACAGACTGAATGCTGATCCTGACTCCAAAAATGAACACCTATCCTGGTCACAGCCTGAGCCAATATCCTAAGTCCAGACTAAACCATCTATAAATTGAGCCCTATTCCAAACCCTAGACAACCCCGACCCTGACCCCAGACTGAAGCTTTGTCCTTGTCTGAGCTTGAGCCCTGATCTTGACCCCAGGCTGCGCCCTCACCCTCTCCCAGAATGAACCTTTACCCCCTATGGCCTGAGCCCTGACCCTGACCAAATCCTGGCCCTTCGCCCTAAGCCAATGCTCTCAGAAAAGGCTGCCTTTATTCACAGGAGGAACGGTCCTCCCCTCTCCCAAGGACAGAAACCCCAGCTGAAGCCTAGGAGGACCTGGAGAACTTTCCACAGGATCCACACGACGGCTTCCGCTCCGTGGCCGGAGGGCAGGGCCTATCATTCCCATTTGACAGGTGAGGAGACGGATTCTTGGGGGGGATAACTTGTTCCATGTGGGTCCGAGGATAGAACTGGAACCAAAGACAGAAGCTATACGGAGACAGATTTCAGAAACAACTTCCCCACAGTCTGGACTGGCAAGGACGGGGCGAGCTGCGTGTGGAGCGGGAGCTCCGTGTCACTGGAGATGTGCCAGCAGAGGTGGATGGCTTGTTGGCTGGTGCTACCGAGAGGCCTACAGGAAGCGGCAGGGAGAGGCCCATGGCCTCAGAGGGCCTGCCAGCCCACCAGCCTACCAGCCCCAAGATCTTACGGGGGCTTCACTCCTCGTTCAGGTGCCCTGAGCTCTTACCCCCAACCTAGTAGCCCCCTCGATACAGCCCGGACGGCCAGACCTGGAAGGCCCCAGAGTCTCCCATCTGATGAGGGAGAGACCCAGCCCAGCCAGGTGGGACCACATCCCGCCCTCCCCTGCTCAGGTTCCTCTCACTGCCCCTCCATTGTCTGGACCAGGCCTGGATGGGAGATGAGGCCCACCTTGCCAAGCTGGCATTGGGCACTGTCACTCTGGGGGCAGTGCCAGGCTGTCTGTCCCAGTGTGAGTTCCCACTCCGCCCTAGGCTCAGAAATACAGAGCCAGGACTAGGGAGGACAGACCTTGGGCACCAAGATCCAGAGAGGCTAAGTGGCCTGCCTTGGGTGGCACAGCCAGGCAGGGGCATATCAGGATGAGAACCCCAGACCCTGGCACCTGCCCCACTCACACGGCCCCACAGCTGCCCCAGGAGGGCAGGAGGATGGTGGGGGGACTTGGTGCCAGGCAGCAGAGGCTGGGGTGGGGGGCTGGATGGCCCCTCGTGCCGCCACCCCCCAAGCCCCCCGGCCGCCCAGCTGCCGGCACATCCGCCCAGGCCCAGACATCAATCCACACCAGGCCCTTGCTCCCTCTTTCTTCTCTGCCCTCCTCTTCCCTCCCCAACTCGCGTCTTTTTTTTTCTCCTCTCTCTCTTCCAACATGTCATTACAGTAGAAACAAAAAGCGCGGGGACAATGCGGGCATTGACGGCGGCCCCCTCCCGGCCCCCTCCCCCCACGGTGCGTGCCAGCACTCTTTCCACCCGCCCAGGGCTGGAAGCACTGCCAAAGGAGCCCTGCTAATAAACAAGAGGAACCAGATAAACCAGGAACACAATAGAGGGATTTGTTGCACTCAGAATGGTGGGAACAATGTCAACGTCGCGCGCAGCTGCTTCTAAGCCCCCACCCCACCAAGTCCTGCCAAGCAGCTCCCTCGCCCCCCAGCCCCTCTGATTTATGAAAGGTCAGAGGGCATCATGGCTAAAGGGCCCCTTCCTCGCATCCCTCTTTAACCCTTCGGACACAATGGTCCCTTCTCTGGGAGGTGGCGGGTGGGGGCGGGTGTCATGCACAGCACTTCCTGGAGCATCCTGGGGACGGCTGGTGGTGGCGCAGAGGGAGGAAAGGGCTCCAAGATGCCTTCAGGCCAGGGGCTTCATCCGGAGTGATGGCCTCATTGCAGGAGGCCTTCTTCTTGGTGACCCCCAAGGGTATGGCCAGAGCCCACAGTTGGGTCTACAAGATGGCGACCCAGGCTGATGCCTGAGCTGTGCTTTCAAGGCGAGAGAGATTCGCTGATGCCCTCATGGGTGCTGAGTCCCTCACTGGATGCTGTGGTGCGAGGATGAGCAAGACATAGTCCCTAATTTGGAGAAGCACAGGCAGCGGGTGTGTGGGAGCCCAGGGAAGTGGGCCTAATGCTGCTGGTGCTGGGCAGGTAGCAGGACGGCCAGGGGAGAGCTGTGAGGGGAGGAGATGCTTGAGCTGGGAAGGCTGCACAAGCTCAAGCAGAGGCTGGGAGTCAGACGCCCTCCTTCATCACTTCACCGCAGCTTTTTGTTAGTAAAATGAGAGTAACAATAATACTCACCTCACAGGGTACTTGGGAAGATTAAATGATACACATAAGGTACTTAGAACCGAGCCTGGCACATGGTAAAGTTCAGTAGGTGTGGCCATTATTATTACTGTTGTTGTTGTTGTTGTTGTGGCTGCTCACAGCCACCCTGAGCTTCATATCATGACCCCACAAAAGATGGGCAGCAGGGGCTGGGCCGCCCCTCTGCTCACACCTGGCATTTGCAGAGCCTGGTGTCCAGCCCAGGGCTCCATACTCCAAATGCAGGGATCTTTCCTGCCTGCTCAACTGCTGGGGATGGACGCTCAAAACTAGGAGCCGGCATTAAGGACAGAGGAGGGCCAAACGGTCTATTTGGGGGCCAATCTCGAAATTGGCTCTAGCCTGTCTTCCCTCCTAAACAAAGATCACATGGAATCCTTAATCACGTCACATTTAAGCCCAGACTGGAAGAAGGAAGATGTATAGTGAAGTCTCCTGTCACCCACCTCTTACAGGGGCCTCCTGACAACACCTTGACTGCTCCCTGCTCCCCATAAACCATCCCCACCACCCCACTGGGGCCCGAGGCCCCTTCTGTGGGCACCAATTCTTTCTCCAACAGAGGAAAGTAGACATTCATAATATCACTAAATTCCAATCTTTTAGGAAATCCTGTTAGCTTTATTTTCAAAACACACTCAGAATGTCTACTCTGACTTCTATTCAACATTGTACTAGAAGTCCTAGCCAGTGCAATAAGGCAAGAAAATGAAATAAAAGACACACAGATTAGAAAGGAAGAAGTAACACTATATATATATATTTTTTTTTTTTGAGGAAGATCAGCTCTGAGCTAACATCTGCTGCCAATCCTCCTCTTTTTGCTGAGGAAGACTGGTCCTGAGCTAACATTGCTGCCCATCTTCCTCTACTTTGTATGTGGGATGCCTACCACAGCATGGTGTGCCAGGTGGTGCCATGTCTGCACCCGGGATCCGAACCAGCGAACCCTGGGTTGCCAAAGCGGAACGTGCACACTTAACTGCTGTGCCACTGGGCTAGCCCCAAAATAACACTATCTTTATTCACAGGCAACGTAATCATCTATATAGAAATTCCTAAATAATCTACAAAAAAGCTACTATAAAAAATAAGTGAGTTTAGCAAGGTTGCAAGATACAAGGTCAATATACAAAAAACAAAATCAATTCTATTTCTATGTACTAGCAAAAACAATCAGAAACTTAAAATTTTTACATATCATTTAAAATAAAACCACAAAATAGGAAATACTTAGGGATAAATGCATTACAAATGTATGACATCATGACACTGAAGAGGGTGGAGAAGAAAGGCTAAGACCTGAATAACTGTAGCGTGGCGTTTTTACTAGATACTGTAAAGCTAAAGACAAAAATAACCATATACAAATACTGTATGCTGGTTGGTAAATTTGTTTCTCACAAGGCGTGGGCTAGCAATTCTGAGGCCACTTTACATATACGCTAAGTTTGAATAAATAGGTAGATATACAATAGATAATGAGAGCCAGGTTTCTCACTGGCAGAGAAAGAAATGACAAATAAGCAATGGGGAAAGGCTGGAATAAACCCTGTGGTGCTGGGGGTGGACCTGAATTTCCCTCTCCTTGATTGTGAGCCAGACTTAGTGACTCACTCCTAACAGACAGAGGATTAAAAGGGAAAATAGTATCTTTATAGGGGAGGAACGTGGCAAACACCACCTTAACCAAGTGGTCAAGGTTGACATCTCCATCATAAGGCATATCTGTATCGTGCGATGAGAAGGGCACATCCCCTACGTAGTGTTCTTCCCCTAAATCCATGCCTTCAGTCTAATAACAAGAAAACACCAGAAAAACCCAAATGGAGGGACATCCTACAAAATGCTTGATCAAAAATGCATCCTCTTCAAAAATGTCAAGGTCATGAAACACAAGGAAAGACGGAGGAACTGTCACAGATGGGAGGAGACGAGACAACTAAATGCAATATGCGGTCCTGGCTTGCATCCTGGAACAAAAAAAAGGACATTGGAGGAAGCTGGGTGAAGGATTTACAGGGACTCTTTGTGTTGCCTTTACAACTCTTCTCTAAGTCTAAAATTATTTCAAACTAAAAAGTCAAAAAAAAAAAGTAAAAAGCCTACCACTTAATCTAGCATAAAAATACAAAATACTTAGGGATAAATTGGACAAAAGATGAAACCTATAAAAGATCGCTGAGAGAAATTAATGAAGATATAAATAAATGGAGAGATATCCACATTCAGGGATTGAAAGACTCAATGTTGGGTTGTTTTGTTGTTTTTTTTAAGATTTTTTTTTTTTCCTTTTTCTCCCCAAAGCCCCACCATACATAGTTGTCTATTCTTAGTTGTGGGTCCTTCTAGTTGTGCCATGTGGGACGCTGCCTCAGTGTGGTTTGATGAGCAGTGCCATGTCCGCACCCAGCATTTGAACTGACGAAACACTGGGCCGCCTGCAGCGGAGTGCACGAACTTAACCACTTGGCCACAGGGCCAGCCCCTCAATATTGTTAACACAGCAATTCTTCCCCAAATTGCTCTGTAGATTTAACCCAATCCTAACAAAAATCTCAGCAAGGTTTTTGGGAGAAATTGACAAGCTGAGTGGAAAATGTACATGGAAATGCAAAGAATCTAGAATAGCCAAGACAATTTTGAAAAAAGACAAAGTTGGAAGAATTATACTGTCTGATCTCCAGACTTATTATAAAGGTACAATAATCAAGACAGTGCGGCATTAGTGTAAAGACAGACAGACGGAAAAACAGAGAGCCTAAGAACAGACCCGCACATATGGTCAAGTGATTGTCAACAGAGGCACAAAAGACAAGCCGACAGGGAAAGGAGAGTCTTTTCAACAAATGCTACTCAAACAATTGAATAGCCATGTGCAAAAAAATGAACCTTGACCCTTATCTCACACAATATACCCAAAAAACCAATAAATGAGTAACTCAAAATGGTTCACAGGCCTAAAATCCAGAAATCTAAAACTTCTAGGAGAAAATCTTTGGGACCTTAGTTAGGCAAAGATTTCCTAGATATAACATTAAACGCACAATCCATAAAAGAAAAAATTGATAAACTGGACTTAATCAAAATTAAAAATTTTTAGTCTTCGAAAGACATCATCAAGAGAATGAAAAGACAAGCCAAAGACCGGGAGAAAACATTTGCAAATTGTACATCTAATAAAGGACTTCGATCAGAACCTATGAGGAACTCTAAAAACTCAATAATAAGAAAACAACCCTATTTTAAAAATGGGCAAGGTGGTCGGCCCCGTGGCCGAGTGGTTAAGTCGGCACGCTCTGCTTTGGTGGCCCATGATTTCACCGGTTCAGATCCTGGGCGCAGACATGGTACCACTCATCAGGCCATGCTGAGGCAGCATCCCACATGCCAGAACTAGAAGGACCCACAACTAAAATATACAACTATGTACTGGGGGTATTTGGGGAGAAAAAGTAAAAAAAAAAGATTGGCAAGAGTTTTTAGCTCAGCTGCCAATCTTTAAAAAGAAAAAAAAAAAAAGGGCAAAAGATTTGAAGAGACACTTCACCAAAGAAGATAAACAGATGGCAAATAAGTCCACAAAAGATGTGCAGGATGATTTGTCACCGGGGAAATGCAAATTAAAACCACTGCACATGAGACACTACTACACATTTACTAGAGGGCTAAAATTTAAAGGCCTGAACAGACCAGGTGTGGTCCAGGCTGTGGAGGAGGTGGAACTCTCATGCACTGCTGGTAAGAAGGTAAAATGGTACAACCACGTTGGAAAACAGTTTGATAGTTTCTTTTTTTTTTTTTCCTTTTTTCTCCCCAAAGCCCCAGTACATAGTTGTGTATCCTAGTTGTAGGTCATTCTAGTTCTTCTATGTGGGATGCCGCCACAGCATGGCTTGATGAGCAGTGTGTAGGTCCGCGCCCAGGATCCGAACCGGCAAACCCCAGGCCGCGGAAGCACAGTGCACAAACTTAACCACTGGGCCATGGGGCCGGCCTCTGATAGTTTCTTAAAAAGTTAAATATACACCTACCATACAACCCAGCCACTCCACTCCTAGGCATTGACCTGGTCAAAATGAAAGGATATGTCCACACGACTTGTACATCAACGCTCACAGCAGCTTTATTTGTAACAGACACAATTTGGAAACAACTCAAACATCCATCAACAGATGAATGGATAAACACATTGTGGTCTACCTGTACAATGGAATATTTTTCAGTAGTAAGGAGGGTAAACTATTGATGCACACAAACGACGTAGATAAATCTCAAAACAATTACGCTGAGTCAAAGAAGTCAAACCAAAAAAAAAAGGGAGACTATATACCGTATGGTTCAATCTAGACATAACTCTAGAAAATGCAAATTAATCTCCAGGAACTGAAGGCAGATCATGGGGTGCCTGGGGATGGGTAGGGGCAGAGGAATGGATGACCAAGGGGCAGGAGGAAAGTTTTGCGGCTGATGGCTATGTTCATTTTCTTGACTGTGGTGAAGGTTTCATGTGTGTATTCGGACATGTCAAAACTCACCCAAGTGCACATTTAAATATGTGCAGTATATTGAATGTCAACTATACCTCAATAAAGCTATTAAAAAATAATAACTTTTAAACAGGAGAAACACATACAAGCAGGAACCTGCCTCCTTCTCTCTGCCACATGCCGCCACCCTGGCCATCGGGGCCACCCTGGCCATCGGGGCCACCACCTGTCCTCTGAAGGACCTCCGCGGCCTCTCCTCCCTGGTCTCCCAGCTCCTGCCTGGCCCCTCAGGCCATTCTCAGGTCCCCCTCCCCCACTGCTCCTGTCCCTCGAAAGCCCCAGGCACACTCCCACCTTATGGCCTGTGCCGTGGCTGCTCCCTCTGTCTGGAATGTTCTTTCCCAGACACCCATACACCTAACTGCCTGAGCAACGCAGGTCTTCTCTCAGCGTCACCTTCTCCATGAGGCCTGCCTCAAGCACTCACAACTGTGAGCCACTCCCTTTCTCCTCCTGACACCCCTTTCCTGCTCCACTTCCCCCCATATCGCACCATAAACAATTAACTTATTTTGGGTTTAGTTTGTTTCCGTTGACTGGAACTTGTGTTTTTGTCAGAGCTCACTGATATAGTCTGAGGGCCCACTGTAGGTGTTCAATAAGCGTTTGCTAAAAGGGTGTTTCAGGTGTTCCAGACGCTGTGCTAAACGCTATTCCTGGATCACATTAACCCCTGAGAGGGGCGCTGTAATTCTGCCCACTTTACAGATGGGGAAACTGAGGTGCAGAGAGGTTAAGCACGCCCAAACTTACTCCAGAACCTTGCTCTTAACCTGTGTGCTGTGCCATCTCCTCTCCAGAGCTTGGGTCCCCTGGTCACAACTTCTGGTCACACCTGGTATCTGCAACCCGATGCCTCCCAGTGGTCTGGACCCCAGGCCCCGCCCCACCCCCATTCCAGGAGCTGACCGACATCTCACACGACAACAGGAAGAATAACCTTCTTGCTTTCCTCTGGGGTGCTCTCTGCCTGGGTCCAAAAGGGATGTGAAGGAGATCAGAAGGGTCCATAAAATATAAATGGCTTCATTAGAAATGGGGCAGGGGAGTCAAGGAGGGTGGGTCGGGAGATGAAGGGGAATGTGGGCAGGGCCCTAAAGGGCAGTGGGCAACATGCAGACCCCAGTGCCTCTGAGTGGGGCTCAAGTCCTGCTGACGGGTCACAGGGCAGCCAACAGTCCGCACTTCAGCGTCCTTGGGACAGAAACCACCACAGCTCCAACCAGTTTAGTTCCCGCCGCCCTCTCTCAGGCACGGGTTTCTTCACCGTGCATGACTCAGCAATTATTTAGGGGGCCTGCCGCGGGCCATGCGAGGCATAGCAAGGCACAGTGGGGCCCAAGGCCCTGTGCCCGGCCCCCAGAGGCCCAGAGGCATTGCTCCTGCCTCCTCCTCCTTCCTCGTGGAAGGGGGTCTTGGCGGCAAGGGGGCTGCTCCACGGTTTGAGCCCAGCCTGACAAGATTCTCCAGGTCCCTCCGAGCTCCTGTTCTTCTAGGCTGCCCTCAGCCACGGCCCCTGCAGCTCCCCCACCTCCTCTGAGAGGGCCCTTCCTTCTTCTGGCTCATCTTCACACGTCAGGACTCTTGTCCCTAAACATCGCACCCTGCAGGTGAGTGCCCCCTCCTGCCTGCCGGCCTCCCCCAGCTGCCCACCCAGCCAGCCCCTCAGGGTCTGCCCTGTCACCCAGCCTGCCCTGCCTCTGCCCTCTGCCCTCTCAGGAGGTGCCCCTACCCAGGCACCGTCCTGGGTGGGTGCTGACAGGAGACCCAATGACCAAGAGGCAGAGGGCCTGCCAGACACATAGTCCCTGCTGTCCAGGTGCTGGCGCTGCTCCCGCAGGCTCCTGGGGCACCGGCACGGTGTGCTGGGCCTCCAGTCGGGAGCCAGGTCCACGTTGCCACTCTGTGCTCACCCCTGGTGGCCTCAGGTACATCTCTTGCCCTCTTTGGACCTCTTGGATTTATTCACTGAAAAATGGAGCGCTTGCAAGTAGTAATATCCAAGTTCCTTCCAGGTTTCTGGAGCCTACGGCTTCCCAGAACATCTAGAAGACAGGAGCAGGATGCACGCTGAGAGCTCCAACGGGGATCCCAAGTCAGCCCACTCCCTCTCCAAAGCGCCTTCTAGTCAGGGTGTCATTTTAATTTCAGTTCTGCGAGGTGAGGATGAAGGACCCCAGGATGCCCGCGGTGCAGAAGAGGAAGCTGGAGCTCAGAGAGGTGGCGGGCCTCCCCAGGACCACAGCATAAACAGAAGTGATAGAGCTGGGACCACAGCGGCTGACTCAAGCCTGCTCTGTCCGTTGCCCTCCACTGCCTCTGCCCCGAGCCAGGCCCTTCCTGGGGGCTCCGTGTGGGTGGGACATATCGGGGGTGATAGATCAAGCAGGATGGAAAGGTTGTTCCTTGCTCCCCTAGCTGGCCCTGCCCCAGAGCTAAGTTGACCCCCCAAGTTGGGACTGGAGTGAGAGGGTGTCAGCTCCCAGTGGACAAGGACAGATCTGGCTTCTCTCCTCTACTCACAACACGTGCTACGGCGCCTGTCCTGGAGCATGGTTTGTGCTCAATAAATAGCTGCTGAGTGACTGGCTGGAGGAGGATGGCCCTCGCCATGGGGTGGGGGTCTATGGTCAGTGTTCCAAGATAGCTCTGACCCTCTGACCCCACAAATAATCCCAGGGTCCCTTGGGCACGTGCACAGCCACCCACACGCCTGCCCACGTCCCTCTCTGACCGGCTCGCTACCCTCCCTGGACACCAGCTGTCCCTCTAGGCTGGCACTTCAGCACAGTGGAAGGCAGGACAAACTTTTGTAAAGAACCAATCCTTTGTGGACCAATACTTTTGTAAAATACAATAAAATGGATTACTAAAAACTGATCACACTCTTGGAAATTGCAGCTATGTCCAATTGTTCCACGAGTTTCTAAAGTCTGTACCTACCTAAGTCCTGTACTTACCTAAATCCTGACCTTATCACTTTGGGAGTGTGCCAGTGCGTAGCCCTCACTTGGAGGGGGGCTGCTCCAGATTTCTTCATTTCAGGTGCTGGTATCACCCCTCCTATCCCCACTCTGCCTAACAACCCCTCACCCCACCACTTACACAGACCAATTAGTCACTAACTTCCTTCTATCCTAGGGTCTCATTGGTGGGACCCCTCCTCTCCAGCTCCCCAGGCCAGGACCCTGCTCTCCCACGTCTAGTCTTGTCCCCTAACCCCTGGCCACAGTGAGCTTGCAAATGCTCTGTAGTGCCCCATGGCCCTAAAACCCTTCATAGTTCCCAGTTGGCACAACCTGGCCCTGCAGACTCCCCATCCTCGACTCTTCCTCCATCCTCCAGTGTGCACACGCACGGTGTCAGGACCGCCTCCTGCGGGGAACGTGCTCATCCCAACTCCTTTTCACCAGCTAGGTCCTCCCCACGTGCTGCCCCAGCTTCCCCTCCCTCAGCATCCTTCCTCAAAGCCCCTTCCTGCTGCCGTCCTCCAGGCTCTAGGAGGCCCTCTCCCAGCCACTCATGTAGAAGTCGGAGCCCCACCTGGCACCACATAGTTCTGCACATTAACGTCACCTCATAGATCTTATAAGCGGCTGCTCAGAAATCCTTGCATTCTGCACAGCACAAGACCCTGCAGACAGTGGATGCCCACTCACAGCAACCTGTTATTTTTACTGCAATCGAATCACAGTAACTTTTCGCCTCTAATCACAGAAACTCTACGAACCTTTCATCAAATACGGAAATTTGCAACATTAAGGGACTCGCCCAAGGCCACACACCCAGTGAGCATCAGAATCAGGATTCCAACTCGGTTCTGTCGGCCTCTGGAGTTCAAACGTTTAAATATCTACACCGTATATTCATTTGCTGATGGGAAAGGCATATCAGGAAAACACAGATGATCAGGGCTTGCAACCTTATGACCTGACAGGCTACCTTTAGGCCAAAAAGCATTACAAATGATGAGAAAGTGGATTTCATAAGGCTAAAACCTAAAAATAATAAAGACATAAAAACATAAACATTTATGTGCCAAATAACATAGTGTCAACACCCATAAGGCAGAAACTATAGGAGATTCAAGGAGAAATTGAAGCACGTTGGGAACACGAGACTTGAACTCACTTCTCTCAGACCCTGACGGACCAAGTGAGCAAAAGTAAGAATCTAGAGGAGTTTGCTGACCGTGGAGCTGACGTCACCCCAAACACACAGATCTACACGTGGCTCACACGCACCCCACCCTCCACTTGGAGACAATCTCGCTGCCGTGCGTCTAACAGCTCAGACACAGACACATTCAGATGCACACACAGCTGCACACACGTAGGGATAAAAGTGTGGAAACATTTACACTGAACTGTGCCCACTCTCAGGACTATGAGATTAGGGGTGAATATTACTTTCTTCTTTTTGTGTCTCTATATTTTCTAATTTGTCGACAATGAAGACCTATCGCTTCTGTGTTTTCTGACGTCCTTTTTAAGTGCAGGGCGCATAGGATCTGGTTAGTTGAGGATCACACAATGCAGATTTTGCTTAAGGACAGCCCCCCCACACCCCCCCCCCCCCCCCACCCCCCCCCCCCCCCACCCACCCCCCCCCCCCCCCCCCCCCCCCCCCCGTCTCTCTCTCCACCAGGGCAGGTGTGAGGACGGAGGGAGGAGACACCTCACAGAAAGTGCCGGGCCCGCAGGGAGCAAGCGGGGGCTGCAGCTGTGCTACGCCCACCTGTTCCCAGCCTCTCTTACTCTCCTCCCCTCTCCCCGCCTTGGCCCTGTCCCAGCACAGGTCCTCGTCATCTTTCGCCAAGATTAACGTTTGGCCTCTTGACTGGCCTCCCTGCCTCCAGTCTCTCCCAGCACCTCCCTCCTCTCCCTGCTGGCCATGCTTCTCCCATGATGCTTTGAGAATGAACTTTAAAATAAAAAAGTTTGACCATGTCACCATTCCCATCTCCTTCTTAACATTTCGCCATGGCTCCCTATCACCCTTAAGATAAAGTCCCCTGTCAACCTTTCTAGTGTCACTCTGGCCTCTCTCCTGTTCTCCATACCATAAGTCCAAAATAGCATTCCAAACATCTTACACTTCTCCCAAATTCCCCATATGCTTTCCTTTCTCTGGACCTTTGCTCATGCATCTCCTCCCTCAGTTACCGTTAACCTACTTCTCTCTCTGTTCAAATCCTTCTCTCTTTAAGGTTTGACCCAAATATCACCTAGACTGGGAAGCCCTCCTTGATTGCCCCAGGCTCAGCCCCCTTTGCTGAGCACCCTCAGTCCCTGGTGCACAGGTTCACTTCATAAGACCCTTGTATGTGCCAGACTAACCCCACATCATATCAACATATTAAAAGGTACCTCTATCACATACTAAATATAATAGTTTGGCTATAAACAGGTTGTAAAGGATTTTTGTGATTTTTCATTTGAAATTTTGATTAATTTCTATTTTGCTGTTTTCATCACACACTTTGAAGCTTGTGCTTTTTCTTTGGTTCTCAAACATTTTTGTGGGCCAATAAAAAGCCTCTAGGCCCTGAGTGCCCCCTGCCAAAGGTTAAGAAGACTGCCCCCCAGAGCTGTCTCCACCCAGTGCTGGCCACTGTTGGGAGCTGTGAATTAGGTGTGTGTCCACCTACCTCCTCCACGGGACCATGGACCTCAAGGTTGAGGGCAGTGCCTGATTCCTCCCTGTGTCCCTGGTGGCCAGCAGACAGCCAGCATGGGGCAGGTGCTCAGGTGCTCCATTGTCCATGGAACGAATAAATTCATGAATTCCCCCCAAAATGTATCTTTGCCTCTCTGAATCTGATACAATGCAACTCATATTCATTTCTGTATCTGTGAACTGTCTATAAAATATTTCTATAATTTACACTGTTCTCTTCAAAGATCTCTGTTCATGTCACGTTGTTTGAGCGTCCTGCGTATATGAGAGCCTACTATGTGCTCATGTGTTACCTCTCCTGAGCTCATGGCAACTCCATGAAATAGGTCCGTTTATCCCTGTTTGACAGGTAAGGAAACTGAGGCTCAGACAGAGAACCAGCTTGCAAGCAAGAGGTTGTGGAGGGAGGCAGTGAACTGGGGACTGTCCGACTCCCAGTCCTTCTCTGACCTCCTCCCGCCCCCTCGCTGGCCGCAGGGCCCACTGCCAGCCGTCTCTCCTCACTTGCCTCCCGTCCATTGCTCTGCTTCAGGCAGGACGCAGACCTCGCCTCCACCCGCACGCTTCGTGTTGCCGGCAGCAGGGTTGCCTCAGTGTCATCACCCCATTCAATCCCATAAACGTTTGCTGAGTACCTACTATATGCAGAGCACTATGCTGAGAACTAGAGCTAAAAGAATGAATGCCAAGGTCACCAGCTATGAGCTCCTCAAGGGCAGGGACCCAACATAGAGCAGAGAGACAGCAGGACCGCGTCAGCCCACCCTTCACGTTGAGGACGTTGGAGAATGTCCCATTCAAACACCTGCCACACCTCCCAAGCTGGGCAGAGCCCTGGGCTGCCCCACCTCTCACCATGTTGAGTCTGTTCCTCTGGGGGGGGCCTCTGTCCAGCAGCCTCTGGGCTGGGGGCACTAGCCACCCTAGACCCCTATAAGGGGTTAGTAGAGAAACACAGGGACAGGCCTGGCCCACCTGCCGTCCTCCTCCAGGGTCTCTAGGCCAGAGGGCCAGCATGTTCATGAGAGATCCCAAGGTGACCCTCCTGATAACCCCCCAAATACAGAGCACTTTACAGTTTCCAAAGGCTCCATCTCTTTCCTTTCCATTGATCCTGTCCCCATCCCAGGCAGGGGTAAGGAATTATCCAGGTGCACTTGGCTCCCAGAGGCAGAGTTCAGGCTGGGACCCAGGAGTCCAGGCTCCAGCCTGATGTAGAGGGGCCTGCAAGCTCTGTTCATCCCTCAGTACCTCGGAAAGGCCTACCTCTCCTCCAGACCTCAGTTCTCCTTCTGTGCCGTGAGGGGCCACGGCTGGACAGCCCCTAAGATCCCTCAGGCTTCGACATGCCCAGAGTCTACCTGGTGAGGAAGGCTGGGGGAGGAAACTGAGGCCTGGAGCTTTCCAGAGGCCCCGCAGTGGCTGCTCACTCTGTCCCCGCACCATGTTGTCAGGGGGAAAGGCACCGAGTGCCAGCAGGACCAGCAGGATGAGTCACCAGGTGTGGAAAGAATGCTGGCACAGGGGAGGCTTGGGGGCCAGCGAATCACCTCCACCGAAACCACAGCCGAGGAGCACCGAGGAGATTCCTAAGATTCCCCCAGGAGGGCACCAGCTGCCAGGCACAGATTCAGACAGTCAAATGGTGCACCGGCTGCCTTTTAGCCCAAGGGCATGGAAGCTGCCCAGACCTCCAATAATAATAATAATAATCACAATAATAATAACAAGAGCGCTCAGCGGTTTGCCATTGTGTCAGGTCCTTTACACCTGTTCCCTTCTCTCGCCTCGCAACAAAGCTGCCAGGGGAGTGTATGATGGCTCCATTTTACAGACAAGGCTCTGGGCTCAGCGAGGCAGGAGCTCTGCCCCAGCTCACGCAGGCAGAAAGCAGACGCCCTGCTCTGACCGGACCAGAAGCCCCATCCTCTGCACCCGCCGGGGGCTCTAGTTCTCTCTGCCCCGCGTAGTCGAGGCAGGTTTCGGCTCAGTGGCCTGGGAGGCCCTCGGCGGGGCAGAGTTAGGGCACTGGGCTGAGAGGTAGAAGGCCCTGGGGCAGGCGGGTGCCCACTCGGGCCTCAGCCTGCACAGCCACAAACCAAGAGTTTGACCTGGAGCTTCGCCAAGGCCCTTCCTTAGGCCGCGACCTTCAAGATATCTCCGGAGGCCTGCAGGACCTCACCCACAGGCCACAGCTGAGG